TCTTCATGCTGTTCAGTTTTTGTTAAATCTAGGTCACAAAGGAAGCATGAACTCATAAATTTTGGGGCACCCAAGTGTCCATAAGTTACTATGAGTGAGCGTGACCCTGTTTGGCAAAGGCCTTCATTGTTTTTTCACGCATTAAATGCACCTGCAACAGGGACAGGGTTGTTCTCTGCAGGACTGTGTCCCACTTTCTGCTAGTGGTGTAATGTTTCTTTGAAAATTGTCCTACCTCTGCATTTTATATAACTGCTTATGACCATCAACCTAACGATCTTTTACACCAGGGGCCAGTTGCATTAAGTGAGTGAAGGGACATGTGGCCAAGTATGGTGACCCATACTCAGAATTTACCCATCCAAAGTGCACACACACAGCAGTGAACACACACAAACCATGAACACACACCCAGAGCAGTGGGCAGCCATTTTTGCTGCGGCGCCCGGGGAGCAGTTGGGGGTTCGGTGCCTTGCTCAAGGGCACCTCAGTCATGGTATTGAAGGTGGAAGAGAGCGCTGTACATTCACTCCCCCCACCTACAATCCCTGCCGGTACGAGACTCGAACCCACAACATTTGGGTTATGAGTCCGACTCTCTAACCATTAGGCCACGACTTCCCACTGTTTAGACTAGTCCTAAAAAGTTAGTCATCTAATTTTTTTTTCTTCAAAACTTGTCATAACTTTTTTAATTCAGTTATGAAAAGGTAGATTGGTCTTATTTGTGTTGGAAAAGTAAGACTGATTACCTCTTGGCAGCTGCTAGTTGGTCAAACTAGTTCTTAAGACACAGTTTTAACATGGTGGCTCAGTTTATGCAACTGGCCCCAGAACATACTAAATGGTTTGGGGATGGTAAAATAAAAAAAATGTTTTTGAAATAATTCTCTCATGCTTACCAAGGAGTTTACTTGATCAAAATACAATAAAAACAGTAATATTGTTAAATAATAATACAATTTTGTATTTTGTATTTTCATGTATTTTAAAATGTAAGTCGTTCTAGTAATGTCAAAGCTGAACTTTTCGCATCATTACATCAGTCCTCAGTGCCACATGATTCTTCAGAAATCATTATAATTTGCTGAGTTGATGCTCAAGAAACATCCCTTATTATTATCAACGTCAAAATGTAAGTCTTTACACAGTCAATTTAATGAGTTCTCCTTCATTTCCTTCCTTCCTTTAAAAAAACAACAACAACAATAATATCAACCATAACAAAAATCAATCATAAATTACTATTGCTCTCTCAGCAAGAAGAACATTATCGCACTTGAATCGAATTCAGTAAGTACATAAGTTTTAACAATTTTATCGTTGTTCAAAGTAAATTTTCAGCTGTCTTTCATGGAATGCACTTGCTTGTTCACATAGAGTTCACAGTTTGAAAGTTCTTGTTTCCTTTAAGTTATATTCAAGGTAAAGTTAAGCTACTGTCGTGTTTTGACGGCTTATCAGAAAGTCGCATTTTGTGTTGAGTATTTCATTTTTGACAGGAATAAAAGGAGGCTGTGATGGATAGAAGTGCAGTGCATTCAATGGATTATACTGTTGTTCAACAACATCATTGTTCAAAAACGTTAAGTGTTTAAAGGTGGGGTAAGCGATTTTTCAAAAACGCTTTAGAAAACTGATTCGGGCCGAATAGCAAAACAAACTTGTAGCCAATCAGCAGTAAGGGGCGTGTCTACTCATGATGTGGAGGAGAGAGTGTTCAGTGCACGGGACGGACATTAGCTGAGTCGAGCGACAGAAAGATAGAGATGGCGGATAAAAAACAAAAGAGGAAAACGTCTGCGGGACAAAAGATGGCTTAAGGCAAGAAGTAGGACCCGTGTAAATATCGGATCCGCTTTCTAGCGCTGGAGAGAACTCAAGGAACGGTAGGCCTGCGATCGGACGCCGAGGTTGCTTTGTTTTTTTCTCGATAGGTGAGTAACACCGTGTCTGCGCCGCAACAGCAAAAGTCTGTCTAGTACACTGGACGCGACAAAGCGACCCTTGAAAATCATTTGAAATTTGGGTCAATACGTCATAAATAGAACGCAGCTGCAGTTTTCTGTCGGGGATTTGTCGTGCCGTGCCACATCCAGTGTAGACCATAGATATGTATATATCGGCTATATCTATG